TCTCCATCGGCCAGGTACGACCCCCCACGGGTTTGGCACAACGATGCTGTACCCTGTTTGCAATGTCGCTGCCCTGTATCACATTCATGTGTTAGTTATACATACCAATGGGCCTCAAGTGTTTGTTCTATTTTGAATGCGGTAAACCCGACTTCCTGAAAGTTGTCCTATTGATTTACAGTCCTCATCATTGCGGACTGTCGGGGCGGCTGAGCCGCGCTGCACTGTGACGCGACAGCGGCTGCGGCTCGGTGACGGAATCAGCTGATTTCCATGGAATTCGGCTGCGAATTCCCACTTTCAGCTCTTCAAGCTTCTAAAGTGGAAGGTGAGTTATTTTGAACAATTTTAAATTGTACTGACTCTGAATGAATCTGAAAGAATGCAAGCCATTTGAATAAATGCCTGAAATAAGGCAAAATACAAGGAAAAGAGCATAATAATAGACATAAAAATAAAGGAAATTAGAGCCAGTACAATTCAAAATTGTTCAAAATAACTCACCTTCCACTTTCGAAGCTTGAAGAGCTGAAAAAGTGGGAATTCGCAGCCGAATTCCATCGAAATCAGCTGATTCCGTCACCGAGCCGCAGCCGCTGTCGCGTCACAGTGCAGCGCGGCTCAGCCGCCCGACAGTCCGCAATGATGAGAACTGTAGTTGCTTCGATGACGTCACTGTGCGATCGCATGTTATTTCACTTTTAGAAAATGATTTTCGGTTTTTTATTTAGATATCTAACAATCATATCAGCATCAGTACGGAATAGGTTCAAGAGTCCTTCCTTCTGAAGTAGCCACCGTGATGGTCCTTGTTCAGTTTAGCAAATGAAGAAACAGTGCTTTTTCTCCGGCTGATTCGTCGCCTGTAAAAACGCACGCAAATGTTCAACAATAACTTCTCTTTGCATATTCAGAAGAGACTATTACCGTGATAGTTGCGTTTGGTCCTCCCATGTCCGTCTTAACCCATCCGGGGCAGAAACTGACAATGAGAATGTGTTCTGACTCGAGATCTATAGACATCGTCTTCATAAGCGCATTCAACGCAGACTGTAATGTGAAACTTGGGATTCTCAATACCATAAGGTCAGCGCTGACATGAAAATGTTCACCTTGCTCATTCTGTAGGCCAGCGATCCAAATTTCCCTGACCCCGACGTATTCGTGCTTACTGATCCCACACCAGATGAAATGTTCAGAATTGCTGCACGGTCCGGAGAGAACTCTTCTGATGACACTTGAAGCGCAGCTTTACGCAGGAGCGGTAGGAAGATCTGCAATATGAAGACCGATGTTCCACCTGAGCTAGGATGAATGGCATAGAAGAATCAGGCTCTCACAAGGGAATGGTTTGAACTTCCCATGGAACTTTGAATGGGACTAGGTACATCGATAGAGCCTCGAATGCTGATTACGAATATGCAGATTAAAAGTGCTACGGGGACCTCCCAGACGAGATCTGGGTGGTCAATTGAGTTCTGGCTCGTAAGCGCTGCTGATCGATGCCTCGGCAGTGCCACCGTGGCCTCGTGGTAATGGTCTCGCTTTCAAGTCAAACGCATGCGGGTTTGCATCCGGTTGGCGCGAAAATTTTTGCTTCGCTCCGTATAAGAGCTTCAACTCTAATTTTCGAAATTCTTCCGAATTTACGGCCCAGCAGGGCAAGTAGATCAAGTACATCAAGTATACGACGTACTCGATCTAGTATGGATTTGGTCATATCTGCCCTCTCTGAACATATTACCCATCCGACAATTCAAAGTTTTAGCGAGAAACTCGTTCATGGGAGATTTCGACCCCTGAACACGAATATCACATTGAAAAAACGCTTGTAGGGCCAATTGTGATTCTGGGCAAAACTTCGAACGGTCGGATGGTAATATTAGAGAGCACATATCACTAGCATCCATAACTCGACAACACAATATACTATCATCTACTTTGATCTATTTGCCCTCTCGCCGATGAATCGGAAGAAATGAATTAGAGATGAGCTCTTTATAGGGAGAAAAGCAAAATTTATCCGCTAAACCGCATACCAAACGCATCATTAACCTGAAAAGCGATACCAATATCACAGCCACAGTGCACTCCAAATGATCGATCAGCAGCGCATTCGAGCCAAAAAACTACTTATTCAAACTTTGACCCCATGATCTCGTCCAGGAGCCTCACGTAGCACTTTTAATCTGCATATCAATCAGGCATCAGGCTCTATCATGAACCTACGTCTCCATGCAAAGTTCCTGGAACTCAAACCATTCCCTCTGTCATAATTTTTGTAAACTAATGGACAAGCCTACCTGGTCAACACGCTACGCTCGCTGCTTACATCAAAATTTTATTGAGATCATGCCCGATTCGGTCTCTATTCGTAAAATACGCAAAAGACGCCTGCATGTTCAACAGTATAGGACCCTTATCACCAACGATCTTCTCCACCTGTCAATAAGCAAAGTACAGAGTAGTTAAGAGTAATTTCAAGAGCTGTACCTCTGTGTAAGCGTGCCTAATAGACTCATCACAGGTGACGTTCAGTTTCACAATGCTCAGCCGAGGATCGCTTATCTCCCTCAAATGCTGAAAATAGAGACAGTCAGTTCCAATGATTCTCCTCATCTGTTGACGGCTATAGTGCCGGATGGCATCTTTTTGGCGAGTGGGACGATCGTATCGCATTTCGGATGAAAGCACTCTTTATGAATGGGCATATTTTATTGTTGCTGATTACACATGTGTCTGCGAGCCGCAAAGAAACTTCACAGCGGGTTCGTGAATGATTTGTATGATTCGCTGAAAAAGCCAGCCATAAATGTTAAATGTTGAAAGAACCAAGCCCTTCAATGAAGGGCGATTCTGCCGGCTGTTCCCTTTCTATAATAGGTACGCCACGCATCTCATTTTGATTTGGAATCGCAGTTTAGTTTGAATGCAATTCGATCAAAGCAGTAACTTGCAGGACTTAGTCAATGAACAATTCGAATTTTCCTCCCAGGCGAGTTTTCTACAAACCCATCTATCTCAAAAGGCTTATATGCTGAGTTGGCCTAGGCAAAAATTAATCCATAGTTCAGCCACAGACCGGAAAGGATTTAAAACGATGCCCACACAATAGTTGAAACAGCAAAAAGTCTACTTTTCTGAGCACCCAAAATGCCGAGTACTAACTGCCAACTGGCTCGGAAGGGGTCCACTCGACGGACGCTTGAAAATTGCCAGGTCATCCGTTGATGCTAAAGAAACACTACTAGCTGCCCATATTTTGGAAAATTTCTTTACTGTTGCATATGACCACTTCCCATTTATTCTTCGTGATTCGATCACGATTAAGAATTCCTTGAGAGCTGTAAGGTCGCGCGAAGTGTGAAATAGTCTTACTTAGCGAGGTAGAAACAGGGCGGATTGCAGCA